ATGTTTCCATTTATAATCCTCAGGCAATTGAGAAAATTGGCATCCTCGCTGATTACAGGCCCTTCCTCAACCCTACCAGCTCAGTAAGTCCCAGGAAGTTTCCTTCATTCTTAGGCTTCAATCTGCTTTCTTCCGTACTCACTGCTAAAGCCACACATCACCCACCCACGACAAGCATTCCATATTTAAACTTCTTACATAATACTACTTTTGTCATGTCACTCTTATTCAAACCACAACAGATGCAATGCTTATGGGGCTAGATAAACCTCTAGAAGGGTATTTAAGGCTGTTCACCAAGCTATTTTTAACTATGTAATTTCCCAGCACAAACTAGCTAATAGGTTGGCACAGCTTAATTCATTTCCACATCTGTGTCTGGTCATACAGGTACTTGGTAATGCTCCATTAGGTAACTATGCAACATACTATTCAAAGTGCAAAACATTTGCAAGTGAAATGGGGCAGGAAACATAATTAAAGTTACATGATTCAACAAACATTCATTGACCAACAAATTTGTATTACGGTATCAAGGGGCTCTAGAACCTTCTATTCAAACACCATTTCTGAACATCAAATCATTTCTTAAAAGGGGCTAAAAGTAAAAAATATTTTAAATGTTGGTTACTTGAATATTTAAAAAATAACAAGAGGGCTACTTACTTCATGATATTTGTACTTTGTCATAATACCATAGGATTTAATTACTTTCATTTTTCTTAATAAGTCTTCAATCTGTTTCTATCCATAAATGTCCTTTGTCCTTTGGTTCAGTGCGCTATGAACCATAAGCAATCAATCTATATTTCACTGAACAACTGGTTAAAGGTATTATTCAGTCACTCGTTCACCAAACATTAAATGAGTACCTAACAGGTGCTAACCCACCGTGACGGAGGTGGTCTGACCCACGATGATCCTGTAACAGGGTTTCTGAGACTGTACATCTTTACTGACCCAGGTAGGTTCATGTGTGCTCTGGAGCAGGCTTGAGGGGTTGAGCCACAGAGCTTGAAGTGAACAGCCAAGATGTACTATGCATCGGAAAACATCAGAAACCTTATGGATGAAATAATTCTTTCTTCATGGGACTTCATTCAACAGCAGGAGAATCAGATATTTTTATTTTTTTAAAGCAAATTATACATAACATCAGAAGGGCCTGAATGCTACAAGGGCGCAGGAGAAAATCAATACAATAGCACCTTCCAAATCAGGTACTTGGTAGGGAAGGTGAATAAGAAGTGTGAGGTAGAAGTTGCCACTTTCAAACAGAATCATTGGGCAACTTGGCCTCCCTGAGCAAGTGACATGTGAACCAGGTCTTAAATGAGGTGGCAGAGTACATAGGAGACCACATAGGAGAACAGTCCAGGCAGAGGAAGAACTCATCTTCTGGAAAGATCAGGCACATTGAGGGGGCAGGACAATGTGGAGAGGGAGAGTGGGAGGAGCTAGGGAGGATAAACAAGAGGAGCCAAACTGTGGGAAGCCAGGTAAAACCATTACGGTGCTCTGGCTTCTACTACCTGTGTGGCCGGGAGTCAGTGATGCCCTGTGAGCAGAGGCTGGCCATGATCTGACTGATGTCTGGAAAGATCCACTTGGAGGCTCAAGGAGAACACATAACACGACAAGTGTAGGGGCAGGAAGACCAGTGAGGAAGTATTGATTAGGTGAGGGGGATTTGTACCAGCAAGATAACACAGAAGTAGTAAGACATGAAGTGACCCGACTCTGTACCGATTTTGAAGACAGATCGACTAGGATTGCTGATGGGAGTAAAGGTGGGGTGGAAGAGAAGAGGCGAACAGATGATTCCAAGGTTGGTTGGGCTGTCATTTCCTGAGCTGGGGAGGACTCCGGGGAAAGCAGGTTTTAAAATTTGGTCACTGTCAATAGACAAATGGTACTGAATGCCATACAACTAGAGGAGAGCAAGAGTGCGTGTGGACAGGGAGGAAGCCCAAGGAGTAAGTCCCCGAACATGAAGAGGTGGAAAGATGAGGAGGAAACCGCACAGGAGCCTGAGAGAGGCGGGCAGTGAGGCAGGAAGATTGGTAGGTTAAGGACTGGCTGAGTGCTGCTGGAGCAGTAGTTCTCAACCTGTGGGTCACGACTCCTTTGAAGGATCAAATGACCTTTTCACAGGGGTTGCCGATTCATAACCGTAGCAAAATGACAGTTATGAAATAGCAACGAAAATAATTTTATGGTTGGTGGGGGGATCACCACATATAAGGAACTGTATTAAAGGGTTGCGGCATTAGGAAGGTGGAGAACCACTGTTCTTGAGAGAACAATTCTTATCTAGGGGACACAGACTTGACTTAGATTACAATGAACTAGGAGAAGGAAGTGATTCTCCCCACTCATTATGGCAAGTAAAGTTGGGCAGTCTTGGGGGATCTGGACCAGGCAGTGGCTACTAAAAAAACAAGGATACAGTTTTCCATAAAAGCAAAAGCAAGACTTTACTAACATAGAGTGAGCTATGTCTTCTACCAGGAAAGGAAGAAAATAATCATCGAATGAGGTCAGGGTTTCTCAACCTTGACACCACTGACGTATGTACCAGGTAACTTTTTGTTGTGGAGCCTGTCGTCTGCATTGTAAGATGTTTATCCGCATTCCTAGCCTGTACCACTAGATGTCAGTAGTGCGTGTGGGACACACACACACACACACACACACACACACACACACACTATCCACTTCAAAAACGTTCAAATCTGATAATAAATTCACTTTATATTGAATACAAAACAAAGTTATTTTCTTTCCCTTCAAAATTAGGTCTTCTCTTAAGCGTTTCTATTACTTAAAGAGTTGGGCTTTTTTGGTATTTTTTAACCTTTAAAACATGGTTTTTAAATTTTAAACTATTTGTATGTTCTCCTAAAATGATCAACGATCTATTCTGTATGGCCCTGTTTCTCTTAAGGCCCCTATTCCATTACTGATTGCAGCGATGACTTGCAGAGCCCCACACTGTGTGTATCTGACTCTCATCCGCTTCCTTCCTAGCATATCTGCTTACAATGATAACTAATTTTAGTGGCTGCATTTGAGTTGAGAGAACAGAAATAAAATGACAGGAAAGTTCAAAGTGAGAGCCTAGGAATAAGTTCTTAGTTTTCAAACAAGCTCACCAGTTACTGGGACGTACGAAAGAAAGTGCTAATTCTCTAATTAGGATAGATAGAAAAAAGGGAGTGCCTAGAGCCGGGCACTCCTCTGTATCTTCCAACCTGCATGGGGTTTATCTCCACCGAGCGCTCGAAGCACTGCACACAGTCTCTAAACTCCCGGTTCCGGAGATGGAGGAGGCCTTTGGAGCGCTGGGCCCGGGCACTGCGGTGACCGGACAGCTCCCACGCCTTGTCATAGTACGAGTGTTCTCGAAGGACGTCTCCAAGCAAGCAGTATAAACTCGGCGTTTCCTTTTTCTCCAGCTCTTGCCTTAGGATTTCTTCTGCCTGGAAACAACAGAAATAATCACATTGTTAACGTCACAAATGGCTATATTTTTGGATAGACCCATCTTTGATTCCGGGTGGCCCCAAATTTTCTTTTCAAAGATCTGTTCATATATCTAGGATACAGGCCGAATAATGGACAATAGGAGACACTATGACAACAAGTGCTGGTAACACAGAGACATAAGGGGTAGAAGGTGAGTAACAGTGCCTCGCTGGCATTCTTGAGTCCTGACGACACTCCTTCAGCTCCCAGCGCCCTCTCCAGCTGCCACGCTGTGGCCATTTCTAGAGTGGTGCTTTGAACTCACCTCTGCCTAACAGCCATGAAAAGGATGGTTTTTCCTTTTTAAAATGCTACGCTTGGAGAGAGCCCTGGCGGTGTGGTGGATTACCTGTTGGGCTGCTAACTGCAAGGTCAGCTGTTCGAAACCGATCCTGGCTGATGCAAGGTCAGAAGAGCTGAGGGAGAAAGAAGAGGCTTTCTACTCCTGTAAAGAACTAGTCTCAGAAACCCACGGGGCGGGTCTACCCTGCCCTTTTGGGTCGCTATGTGTTGAAATCAACGTGATGACAGTGAGTTTGAGTTTGGAGAACTGAGGCTGCTGGTAAATTGATAAAAGAAGGTGGTGGGCAGAAGAGACGGTGTTAAAACCATCCTCTTACCGCATCTTACCTCCCAGATAGAGCTGGACAACATTAGCTCTTGAATTAGAGAATTCAAACAGTCCATTCTCTTTAGAAATTAAAGACCTCCCTCGATGCCTTACACAGGTTTGGGTATTTCTGTCAGAGTTCCACAATTCAGATTCACCTCATCAGCCAAGCTGATTCTGTTCTTGTTGCCACTACCCATTTCCCTCTCATCCATGACCCCCCCATCCCATTTCTGATTGCTTTCCACAAACCGCCAGCAGCTCTCTTAGTAGGGGCTCAATTTCCCTTCTTCCCACAAATGCCTCCCCATAATCAACGGTAGTGTAGTCAAGAAGTTAACAGAGTCATGGTCAAATGGATGTCAACAAGCCTTCGGTAACTGGTAAATAGTAACTATTTTAGCCTTTGTGGGCCATGCAACCTCTCTCACAACCACTCAACTCTGTTACTGTAGCACAAAGTATCACAGGAAGTACAAATGAACAGACGGAGGCATTTCGGTAAAACCTTATTTGCAAAAACAGGGTGGAGGCTTGACTCTAACCTCTGCTCCAGGGCAAGGTCCGTATCCCTGTGGTGGGACCTTTCTGGTGTCTTGGGAGGTGCCTGGCATGGTCTGTTGTTGGTTGCTGTAGGTACCATGGAATCGGTGCCGACCATAGCAGCCCTCTGTACAACAGAACGAAGCCCTTCCTGCGCCCTCCTCACAGCGGTGCCTGTGCCTGAGCCCACTGTTGCCACCACTGAGTCCGTCCATCTGGTTGGGGGCCTTCTTCCCCCACTCTCCCAAACACCATGTCCTTCCCCAAAGCCGCTCAACGTTTAGATTCTGCATTGTGATTCACCGGTAGCCTCGACTCTCCCGCATGCTGTAACGTTAACCAAGGATTCGTGGAGAAACACAGAGAGAGGTCTTCCTGCCAGAGTCTCAAGCACTCCCAAACTCCAGCTCTGCTCCTCAGCTCTGCTGGGCTCTCCTGCACAGCTGGAAACACGCCTGACTGAAAAGGACTCCAATTCATCTTCTCTCCGAAATTATTCATTCTCGCTGCCAGGTATTACGCATTGCCTACAAAGAGCCGCACCGTACGTTTTGTCTAGTGTCCTGTCTGTGCGGCACATCGTCTTCTCCGAAGACGGCCAGCAACATTTTCAGTTACCTGCTCGTCTACCACAGAAAGCTCCGCCCATTGAAAGGTTTGGAACTGTGCTCCTGACCCATGAATCTCAGTAGGCCTGGGACTGTGCTAAAAATGACACTTTGTGACTTTCAGAGCCAGCCCCTAAAAGGCCAATTCTCCTCGGGCCTGACCCCTGCCATCCCAAATCGTCTCTAGACGTATCAACAGACGTATATACAAAAAGAACAGCAACAGTTTGCTAAGAGAAGGGAAACCTTGAGGCCATGTGTAGCAAAAGAGATGCTAAGGGTCTCTACCAAAGGGAAAGTGGGTCATACATTTTAATCAGGCCGGATTGAAAGATAGTCATCAGAAATTCATGATCCATGGTGCTAACCCAAACAGCTGGAGATGATTCTAAATTATTTGCTCAATTGCTTGACTAAAACCTGGACTCAAATATTGCCAAAACTAAATTGTGTTGCCAAAAATGCCTTGGTGTAATGGGGAGGAAGGAAGCCAACAGCTTAGAAAGAAAAGGCTATTGTAATTTTATCCTTTGCCCACCCATTCCCCATGGCTCCCAAGAGGCCCGTGGAATACTCCCTTCACCTTAGCTTTGGAGAAACACGAGTAACATGTCTCTCTCCTAATTCTTATCTACTTCTCAGACTCAGAGTCTCTTAAAAAAAAGGGTAAGTCAAGCATCCTTGGGGCAAGACCCTACCAGAACATTACAAGTATGTACCATAACTGATCTTCCCAGTGAAGTAAGTGGAGCCATTTATCCAGGTAACAGTATCCTGGGGAAAAGTTCTGTTTTGAATGACCCTTCATTAATGTTAATCCCCTGCGATCCAAACGGGACTGTGATGAGTGAGTGGGGGGGGCTAATGGATTTGGCCCATCACGCAAGAGGCCCAGTAAGTCTCTGAACCCACCCAGTGGCTACTTCCATAGTTTCTGAATATAAAGTTGAAACAGATCAATCCAGCAATGGTACAGCCCTGTAAGAGAGCTCCTGTGATATCTCTTCTGTAACGAGCCTAGTGAAAGCCCCGGACGCTGCCTTTTCCTATTAAAAAAAGTAGACGCAATGCAACACAGTATACCCATGTAAATCACAGAGATCTGTACCACTATCAAAACCAGGAAAAGGTTAGAAAGTGTGTGTGTGTGTGTGTGTGTGTTTTTGTTAATCTCTTCCTCACTATACTGGACTGAGCAGAACATAGATTGGTCCTGGAAAAGGTCATGTCATAGATTATTTTAAACTTAATTCAGTAGTGATTCTGACTGGAGTCATTGCTTCAGACATAATCTCCTTACTACAGCAAATCACCGTAGCCCCTAACACTCGGTAAACTGATACTGATACAGCAAATACATGTTTCTCCATTCAAACCACAGACACCACCAGACGCAGTGGGCTTTGACCAGGTACAGAGAGATGTGCACATTTCCTTCCAGATGTGGGTCATGGAAACCTTGATGGCCTTCCCATCCTACTTCTCTGACCCTGGTGATAAGGGAAAAAAAAACTATGTTCCAGAATCAAACAGAAACCAACTGAATGTGATCAGATGCTTGATACTGTCACATATTATTAGGGAAATGTTCAATTCACAAACATTTATTTGAAACATTATCCCTAAGAAACTCCAAATATTTGTTCATGTGCTTCTGGTTACTAGTGCTCTTCTATGTACTAGGTATACTTGAGTATCTTAAGTCTTCTTAGGGAAAAATGAGGCATTTCCTAAAATCAGAAACTTATCTAATTATGTAAGAAGTTGTTTTGTATTTTCCCAAAAAGTCACCTCCCAAATTAAAGGGATAAACTCTTACCTATTCATATGTGCTGGATTATGCTGTCGATTTGCTTCAACTGGAAACTACCTTCCCCCAAGCCCTTTCTCTTCGGATTTCTTATTAGAGTGAATCAGAGGGACACGTGTCAAAGACTCAGAAGGCAGTAGCGAAGAAACAGCCTTTACTCTTGGACGATTCTGTTGGTCAAACAGGGTGGTCGAGCAGGCTCGGTCGCATTCACTGTTACTCTTGTTTGCTGCAGCTCCTGGTGAGCCAGTGTGTGCAAGCAGCGCTGCTCTGCGGGGTTGCGGGGCTGTGATCTTCTGAGAGCAGGTCACTCGGCCTACCTCTAGAGGAGCCTCTGGGTGGGTTTGAACCGGTTCAGGACAGTTCAGTCATGGTCCTCAGTAATAAGGGGAGAAAAACTGCATTGCCACCAAATTCTTGCCTCGGATTCTGACCGGAGTAGGAAATGGGCAGTGGTGCCTAGTCATGGACGTGGTCAGTGGCCATCTTTGAGTGAGGCACGGCTGTCTGTTTCTTACTTGTATCAGAAGCCAATGTGCAAGGAAGTTAGCTGCTCTGTCAGGTTAAGTGCCTGTGGCTGTTGGCCATATGGAACACTGCTGCCAGCCAGTCCAAAAGCCTGGCTGGAACTGCCAGCTTTTGCGTTCCATAGGTTGGAGCTCCTTTAGCCTCTCCTTCCCAGAGAAGTACCATAATTTACCTGCTTGGGGTCCCTGGAAGACCTGACTTGTAAAGTTCTCTCAATGTGACCTGACTCTAAGCTCACTCAGTGAAAAAAGCCTTTGGGCCAAAGCGATGCAGAAATCCATTGGAAACAGATGATTCACTTTGTGGTTACCTGAACTGATGGCTGCAGTTGGGAAAAACAGCAGAAAGCCAAAAGGCTTCAATGGAGAAGTTGGGAAAGAAGGATCTACCAGAGCTTTGCAAACCTCCAGCAGATTCTGGGGAATCTGGAGGGCCACACAAGTGGAGAGTTGTGCATACGGCTGGGGCTGTGCATCTGCTCACCTCACCCTGACCTTGAGGCTCTCTGCACAAGCACGAAGGGAGTGCGATGGCAGGTTTTCCAGTGCCTGGCTGAGTGCAGAATGAACGCCCAAACACATCCACAGAGATTCTTGGCAAAGGCTGGGAGACTTATTCATCCCAGGAATTGCAGAACAGCACAGCTGACAATGAAGGTAATCAAGGAAAGATTTCTGCGGCTGATCAGGACCAAGGATTCAGACATTACCAAATTAATTCAGAGAAGACACTAAACAAACCCTGATTTCTAGAATCAACACACAGAACATTATTTTAAACATCTCAATAAATATGTAGGGACTTAATAATAAAAAGTATGTTTATCAAGCAATTCAATGGAATTAGAAATCAGGA